CAATGACAATGAATTTCTTACAATAATGATAATAAAACAATGCGAGAAAAGAATATATAAGGATTTTAAAAAAGAGGAAACATTTAATGGTAAATATTTTTTTTAAGGTTAAGTCTTGTATTTACAAGCTTTGGATTATAAGTGGAACTTGCAATTTGTTCAATGCTCTGCCTGAAGAACTGCTACAGAGTATCTGGAAGCAAATGCCATGAGTGTTAAATCAACCATGGCTTTCTCCATAGAGATGAAAAAAAGATGCAGGTCGTTTCATAAAAGATTTAGTTCTCAAATAGTATTTTCTTCTTGGCAGTTACTTCTATCAGATGGACAGGTAACACAAAATCTAGAAATTCCTAAATCAAGCACTAGTATCTGTTTAATGAATGAATACAATCTTTCTTCAAACTAAATGCTATTGGCTAAGGTGATGGTTGTGGGGGGAAGATCGAAAGGGGGGAAAAAAACCCAACTAACAAAATCTAAATGCTATCAAACATAAACAACCAGCAGCCTCTAGTACTGCATGATATTTACAAGTAGGCTGGTCCTATCTGATGAAGAATGCCGAATAGCTTGGCTCTTGGTTTGCTATTGCCTTGGGGGGAATTACACTGGCAACTGCAGGTGGGAAAGTTCAGCTCCTTCCTTTCTTAATGGAAAATTCACTGATGGCCTTGATCTTTAAATGCATGTTATAAACACCAGAAACATCAATTAATTCAAACTTGTTCATCTTAGGGAGCAGAGAACAGAAATTACATGTCTACCTTTCCTATTTATCACCAAATTAGCTACTAAATTATGAGCATGCCAATTAAAATTCATAAAAACAAACACAACCTACAGTTGGGATCTTTATAGCCGACCCTTAAGGTTAATGAGCTCAATGGGTTGCTGCCACATTAGAATGACAGGGCATCACTTAAAAACTCAGTTTAAAAAAAAATCAATGAGAAGCATCTCCTTCTCAGAATAACACTTTCTTGGGAAAAGTTCACAGTAACTAGTTTACTGAAACTTATACATGCATGTTAGGTTCCTGTTTCATTCATTTATTTGATTTTCTTACATACCAATCAATATCATGTGGCCTTGTATGCCCTGTGCTGGTCTAAGGCTTTTTTTTTAAAAAAAAAAAGAATTAATTTTTATTGTGTTTTGTACATTCACATTTATACAATCATTCACATACATTATTTATGGGGGTTTTATTTTTTACATTTTCAAAAAAATTTATACTGATTTATTTACAAAGTTCGAATACATTGTATTTCACCCAAGATCTTTCCAATTTCCTTCACCCCCACACACATCAAATTGTGTGATTCTATGATTAATAGGCCCACTCCCTGTCCATCCTCCCCTCTCTGCTTCCACCCTTCCCCTGACTCAAGGCTTTTATTCCTCTCTTCTGGACCTTTTAGCTGCAAGCAATTACAAGGACACCTCATTTTAGTGTGATTCACTTTATTGCACCACACAGATACTGATTGTTTTACAAACTGTTTTACAAACTGTACATCAAACAAATGTATTGGCATAAATTTCCCAACAATGTACTCTCAGCATGTATGTGCCACATTTATTAATTCTCAAGATATTTCAAACTTTTTCATTGCACTTTTAGTAGACTACACTCGTGTGCAAACACAATTTTCACATGTGCTTATTCACTGTCATTGAGTATGTTCCAACTAATAGTTACCCTTCATCGAGTTTCCAAGGCTACAGACTGAAATGGGAAGAGACTCCCCATTCCTTCTCTCAAGAAGCCACTGATGGAACTTGTTCATGTGGTAGATACTTTCTGAAAAATTTTCATTCAATGTCAATCTATTCTTTTAAGTACAGTGATTTTGTGTATTCCTTCCATCTTTTTCTTCTTCTTTTTTAAGATTAAAAAAAAATTAGAAAGTTACGTCCTAAAGGGATGGATCTCCTTTCTTGAAAGAAAATATGGAGGAGAGTGCTCCTTCCATCTTCTTTTGATGCTTCTTGGATCATTCAGGACTGTGCCCAGAGCATCTCTCAGTACTGCAACTAGAGGCTTCAATTTGTTCTTCAATTTTTTTCAGCTTGAGAAATGCCAAGTGACCTCTTCTCTTTTTTATTCTGATTCCAGCTCTCTGCACAATTTCACTATAACATTCTGCTTTATCTTCTTCCCAAGTTGCCCTCTGAATCTTCTGTCCAGCTCTTTTACTTTGGCAGCTCTTCCTTTTGTGTAGGCTTCTTGATGTTCTAATGCAATTTTCAGTCTCTTTTGACATCTTTTTTGTTTTTACTTCCTCTTCCTTTGTAATGACCTTTTGCTCTCTCCACAGATTCTCTGTTCTTCAATCACTAGTGTTCAATGCCTCAAACCTATTATTGAGATGATCCTTAAATTCAACTGGGATAAACTCAAATTCAAAGTTGTTCCTGTGGACTAGTTTTAATTTTCTTCAGGTTCAACTTAAACTTGCACATGAGTAATTGATGGTCTGTCCCACAACCAGCACCGGGTTTGATTTTGACTGGAGAGACTGTGCTTCTTCAATGATTCTTGCCTCAAATACAGCCCTTCTGATTCCTGCGCAATCTACCAGGTGAGGTTCAAGTCTAAAGTTGTCATTTTGTGTTTTTAAAAAAGGGTTTTTCTATGTATAAATCATTGAGCATACAAAATTCAATCATTTGATCTGTCACCATGTCAGTACTTTCCGACTACCATTCCTTCCTCATTGTTTTGAGCTTTTGTATATTTATTTCCATCACCAATAATTATTAATGCATACTAACTGTATGTTTGGTCAGAAAACCAAAAAATATTCAATGGCCCACTTTATTTCAACTTGCAGAATCTGAGGTAGACTTGTGTTCTCTTTTAACATCCTCTATTCACACTTTCTCTTGAAATCCTCTACTCTGAACTAGAAGCATTCATTTTACTTTCTAACACAAAACCAAAAAAGTAAAACCTATCGACTCATAGCAACCCTACATCAGAGAATGTCTCAGGGTTTCCCAGGCTATATTTATGGAAGCAGAATTATGCCACATCTTTCCTCTACAGAATAGCTTGTGGGTTCAAATCACACTGACTTCTTGGTTAGCAGGAAGTTCTTTTATCACTGAATGACCAGAGGTCTTTTTTTAACATGACAACCATAATTGATCTCAGGTGTTCTTTAAATTTATATATATGCTTGCTGAATAATGAATGAAAGCCAAGGTGTACACATTCATCTTTGAACTGTCACTTTACTCTCTTTTCTTTCTACATTATCTCTTACACTTCAACAACCTGTGTTTGTATAACAAGGAAAAAGTAGCGAATGAAGACTTGCATGAGACTTGGTGGTCAAAGGGGATCTTGCCACTGGAAGGTAAAAGAATACATCCATACAAAAGACTGAATTTCTGGTTTCAAGTCTTCACCCCTCCCTGCATTTACGTCCTTTGCTATGACTTGGCATTCTGTCCCACTGAAAGAGCTAATTTCTAATCTGCCTTCTGACTGTAAGCTTCAGCCATGACTTGCTTTCGCCTGTAGAATGAGATTGTCAATTCAAAGCTTAGTCCTAACAAGGCTTTTTGCTAGGCTACTCTTGTTCTCTTGCATCTCAGCCACTACTATGAACACATGCCTGGGTAGAATGCAGTTTAGGAATGATCAGAAACATGTGCAGCAGATGCTACAGGGAGAAGCAGATCCACCCAGCCAACCCCAGTTAGATCAGTACAACCCAACTGGTCTAAAGATGGATGAGTAATAATAAATTATTGGTGTTTTAAGGTACTTAAATCTCATAAAAATCCTTTGAACAAATAAAATCATTTTATATAGGGCACAAAGCAACAAGGGGAAAGCATGTTGAATGTTTTCCCCAAGGCTATCAGCAAAACAGTAGCAGAATCAGGGTTGCCCAAGATTTCTGTGCACACCCATGCCTAAGGTCCTTCACATGAAACCTCATTGGAATATCCAGTGTAAGACCTAGCCTGAAGTCCAAGGTTTATGTTTCTATGAGTTTGTCTCTCCTGGATATTTTATTTAAGTGAAATGATATATCTTTTGCTTCAGGCTTCTTTGACTTAGCATAATAGTTTTCAATACATATCCATTTTGTATTATCTATCAGTACTACTTTTTTATTGCCAAATAATCCATCAATTATGTGCATATATTCTATCTGTTCACCACACTTGATGCACACTTGAGGTGTTTCTACTCTTTGGCTCCTATGAATAATGCTGCAATGAATACTTAGACACAAGTTTTTATGTAGACTTCCTTTCTTTTTTTTTTTTACTTCCTTTCATTTGTCTTATGTATATACTCCAAGAGTAGGACTGCTGGATCAAATGATAAACTATATGCTTAGCTTTCTGAGGAACTGTCAAGATTGTCTTCCAGAATGGTATACCATTTTCTGTCTCATTTAGCCCCCTTTGTACAAGCAAGGAATCTAAAGCCCAGAGGAATTGAGTAATATGTCAAAAAGCCATTTATCTGATGAATGAGGAATGTGCACTCAGGCAGTCTGACTCTAGAGCCCAAGCTGTCAACCTTTGCACAACGCTGATGAATTAAAAAGAATAACAGAGAATTAAAAAAATGAAATAAAATTATTGCAAAAAACTTTTAGTGAATAAACATTAAGTACTTCGAGAGTCTTTGACTCAGAGAGCAAAGTTACATATTATCAATTGTCACACAGTAAAAGGATTACTATAAAGAGTTCATGTATGTACCATCATGAATTAGACGAAGTGAGATTTTGTCTATAAAATGTTAAGTAAACACAAAGACTTCATCATTACAACATTCAATAGAGAAACTTTGGGACCTTTCCAGGAATCTATTATTTTTTTTACTAAAAGATGTCAGAGTTAGGGAGTTAGAAGGATGGACAAAATGACTAACAATTTTGCTGGACTCTGGTTATTTTCTCAAACCTACATTATATAAAGCTCTGGCCCACAGACTTGCGATCTCTTAACCAGGACACACTTACCCTGAATAGCAGATAGATATACAAAGGTGTCTTCATGCTCCAAGTTCTCCAAGAATATCTGGAACCACAAAATACAGCAGTAATATGATTTAGTAAGAGGCAGCAAGATTTAAGAAATCCTTTTATAACAACCTCAAAAGAGTAAATGTTTTTATTGTTTGTCTCAGCTAGGCACTGGTGCAATTTACATTCTCATAGTATAAAAGTATACAGGCATGAATTTCTATTACTTTTATAATGGATAAAATAGGGTAGAGATTAAGGGGAGAAATTTCCTAAAGTTAGCAAGTACATACCAGTAACAAGCATGGAAACTAACATTTGGAAAAACAATCATCATGTTTCCTATTATAGCCCATGGAGGGCAATCTCACACCTGACAAGACAGGCCATGGCACACAAAACACAGTTTGAGTTGTTTGCAACTTTTATTACATTTGCCCATAATTTTCTTTTTTTCCCCACTCAAGAGAACATATGAAAATGCAAATGAAAGACAGAGATAGTATTACTGGAATACATTGAATCTGATCTCATTTCTTTTAAAAACTTTTGATAATCTCAGCTCTCCAGTTAATATTGTTGCTATGTACCCCTGAGTCAGGACTCATAACTGACCCTCCAGTGAGTTTTAGTTTAATTACTCCAGAGACAGTAAGTCACACAGGAGGAGACTGCCTATCTTTCTTTTGCAGTGAGGCAGGTGGATTTGAACTGTGCCTTACCAACTCCTTACCAATAAGCCACTTAAGCTTCAATTCTATTTTTTTTTTAATTTTTATTATTATTTATTATTCTTGTGTGTGTGTGTGTGTGTACCATCAAATCGGATCTGACTGGTACAGGAGGAGATTGCCCCTCCTTCTCTGGCAGAGCATCTGGTAGATTTGAACCACATATCTCTGGGACTGCAGTCAGCTTCTTGCCACTAGGCCACCAGAGCTCCCCTTTGAGCTTCAATTCTTATAATTCTGGGATTCATCAACATGTGTTAATTTCAGTGGGATCTGCTTATCTAAAAGGGTCTACCATTCCACGTCAGGTTCAGGCAGTTTACTACAGGACTCATAGCACTGACTACCCAAATATGTGCACAAAGGAATATTTTTCATTATTACTCAACAGAGATACATTAACTTTAGTTTTTCAGGATAATTCAATGAAGACAAATTCTTGATACGTTCATCACTCAGTTTTCTCATTTATTAAATGTAATAATATCTATACTGCCCTGGGGGAGAATCAGATTTCTATAAAGTATGAGGCCTGGTTCATTACACTAGAAACTTATTCTAATCCTTTAGCTACTAAAAGATTTTTTTTTCTTCAGTTAGAATTATAATTCTTAGTCCAAGAGTTAAAAGCATATCGAAGAAATAATTATTATTTTTATTAAACAATTTGTATTATTGATTTTATTAAATAATTATTTGTTTTTATTAATTATTATTTTTAGAAAAACAAATATCCTTCATTAGATGCTGATTATGTGCCTATTATTATAATTAGTGCTTTACACGGACTATTTCACTTTTAATCTTTCAACACAAAGTCAGCCCTATTATTATCCTCATTTTAAAGAGCACAGAAATAAAGGCTCAGAAAGTTTAAATATATACACAAGAATCTGATAGGGAATTTGATCCCAGACAGTATCACCAGACTCCTTGGTTTTAATCCCTAACCTATAATGTACTCAGGACAAAATTCCACAAATGGAAAAAAGTACTCATAAGTAAGAATATATATTCCCCCAGAGAGATCTACAATTTAAGAAACAGTTTTCACACTAGTGATAGAGTGAGATGGCAATCCCATTTTTGTTCAAAATGAGGCCCAGATAAAAGAGAGGGCTTTCTGAGCCAAATTACAGTGTTCAAAGTGGACCTATCTATCTACCACTAAAAGTAAACAGGGAATATGCTCAGGCAGTTCTATCCCTTTTATCTGTTTAAACTTTACAAGTTCCATCTCTCAGAAAAGATTTAACTTGCTACTTTTCTTGACTGTCTACAGGATTTCTTTTTCACCTACATTTTCGCTCTTCTGTTCAACTGAGTAGTCTCATGTGATTATCCAAGTCTTTTCTGTGTCTAAGTCTTTTCTCCAAAGAATGAGTATACGTACCTTGAGGGCAGTCGTGGACAATGCTTGATGGACACATAGTCAAGGCTTCAAACACTTCAATTAATGTTTCTTGAAACATGTCCTGCCCTGCACACACGTGTTTTTATAGGAGGTACCACTTACCTTAAGTAGCTTCTCTTGCATCTCAAGGGCTCTTGCTTCCTTTTGCTCAATCCATCGAGAAAGTGTTCTCAGAGCAGCTGCCCGTGTTGGAATTTGAGGATCATAAGCTGATAAAAGAACCTCCTGGAGCCCTTCTGAGGTTATGCTTCCAGATTTCTGGCTTGAAGAAGTACTAGATTCATTCACCTCCTGAGCAGTGAACGATGCATCATTAGATTTCAAATCTGTTTGGTGGTTGGATTTCTCATTACTTTGCTGTTCTTCTAAATTCTTTTCTGAATTTCTTTTCTTCAGGGCACTCTGGGCAGACGCACTGACAGCCTCTGTGGAAAAAGCTCCATGGGTCGCGATGCTGATGCGGAGATCAACAGCAAGTTCTTGAATGACAGAGTCAGGGTGTGTACTGGAGACTTTTTCCAGCAGAGGTAGCAACTGCTTCAGGACAGCAAAGTCATTTGATGTCAACTATAGAGTAAAATGAAAATGTCAAACCTAAGTTAATATATCACATGTTAATACAACCTGAGCACAAGGAAACATTCTAAGTGAAAGAGGCAGGTACCAACTCTAGTTTGTGGTGTAATCAGAGCACGCACCATATATTGAGTAGGAATCCCTGAGCGGTGCAAAGAGTTAATGGACTTAGCTGCTAATTGAAAAGTTAGAAGTTCAAGTCCACCCAGAGTCAGTCACCTTACAAGAGAGGCCTGGTGCACTACTTCAGAAAAACCTGTTACCGAAAACTTTTATTCTGATACACAGAGGCTCACCATGAGTTGGAATGAACTCCACAGCAATTGGTTAGCTCTCGTAAGTATTCATTCATTAGTTACAGCTAACATTTACTGAAACCATGTCCAGGGACTGTCCTAAGAGAACATATCCTCTCACTCACATTCATATCTTTGTAATACAGTCACTGCTAATTCAAACAAAGGTGAACTGCAAACACTACTAACATGCCCATGATTATACAACTGAAAGATGGTAAGACTAGAATTCAAGAAGTCTAGGTCCAGTGCCCACTCTTTCTCCTAATACTCTACACTATCTTATTCACATCAACAAAGGTGTTTTGAGTACCCAGTGTAAAGTGACTGGCCAGCACACAAGAGACTGGAATAATAATTGGCAAAGGAAAATTTTTAGAAGGTGAGAGTGAAAATTACCTAAGATTTTACTCTCTCAGGAACTATCGCTGCAATAATGCCACATGCCTTCTAAGAAATATGTGTTAAAATCAATGAAGAGGCAAAAATGCACAGGAACCCTACTCTGTTAAAATATTGGAGATGTGTCCTATGAGGCTTTGAAAACATCAGGGGGTCTTAAATCCTTATGTAAAAGAAAGTGCTTATTACTTAACCATCACTCATTCAATCAATCAACCAAATAGTAGTTAACTGTTTTCTTAAGCCATATAAATTATTCTCATTTGACACTATAAATCCATAGAATTGTTACTGGCCACTTGCCCCACCACCCTCTCAACAAGTAAATGAAATCCTGAGATAGATATCAACAGACTCTTACAACATATTTTCCTCAAATATCTCGATTTACACAAGCGAAAGTGAATATAAGATCAGTATAAGGTTAGAATTGCTACCTATTCAACATGTTAGTTTATGTGTAAAACAACTGACCATTCTGATGTTACTGATCTTAAGAGAACAACGAATGTCTAGATTAAAGATAGGCACTATCTAAGAAAAAGGTCAATAAAAAATACATTATAGAATAATTATGCTACTGTTTTATACAAAGTGTTATACTACTGTGTTACATTAAGTGTTATCCAGGGAGCTCTAGTAGCTTAGTGGTAAGGAGTTGCACTGTCACCTCAAAGGCAGTCGGTTCCAATCCACCAGCTGCTCTGTTTGAGAAAGATAAGTAATCTCCTGTGTATAGAAACTTGCTGGAGGGTCAGCTATGAGTTGGTTCCAATACAATGGTATATAACAACAAGCTTCATCCAGCGCCTCCGTAGCATAATGCCCCTCAGTTTTTCCTTTAAGCATCTGAAATTGGAATATCTACTTTTATCAATAATCTATGTAGCCTGCTTTACAGAAGCTCAAAGACTAACATTTCAACACCAAGAAGACAAAAATGACCAACATGAAACTTTATAATAGAAGACTGATGTCAACAATTTCATCTTGCTTGGATCTACAACCAGCATTCTTGGCACCAGTAGTCAAAAAATCAAAAGACATACTGCTATGCAAACAAACAACAACAACAACAAGGCATACTGCATTGGGTAAATCTGTTTTCAAAGGCATTAAGGAGTAATGATGTCAGTTTAAAGACTAAAGTGCATCTGATTTAAGTCATGGTCTTTTCAATTACTTGTCATGCATATGAAAGTTGGACAATGACTAAGGAAAAGAGAAAAAGAATTGATGCTCTTGAGCTGTAGTGTTGGAGAAGATTACTGAATATTCCATGGACTGACTAAAGAACAAACAAATATATTTTGGAGAAAGTGCAACCAAGGTGCTTCTTGGAGGCAAAATGGTAAAGCTCTTTCTCACATATTTTGGGCATGTGGTTAGGAGGGGCAGGTCCTTGGAAAAGGGTCTCGTATTTAGAAAGTCGGAGAGTCAGAGAAAGATCCCCAAGGAGACAGACTGAAAGTGACTGTAACAATCGGCTCAAGAATATTAGAGATGACGAGGATGGCACAGGATAGAACAAGGTTCAGATCCATTATTCATAAAGTCACTATAATCATAATAAACTTGGCAGCACCTAACAACAACATTATTTACTAACTGGATGGTTTTAGGCAAGTTACTCAGCCTCTCTGTAATAGTATCTTCAACTGTAAAATGGGACTGATAATAGTACATACTAAACTGTGAAGGCTGAACAGGATAATACATATTATTTCCCTTTCATAAAACTTGGTTTTTAGTAAGCATTTTGTAAATATTAAAAGCATGTTGTTGCTGCCATTGCTGTTATTATATTCAGACGAACCAAGCCAAGATGATAATGTTTTCTTTTGTATCAACAATGTTTCTTATGTATGCGTTTATAGTAGATTGTTGTTATTGTGTGTTGTCAAGTCAGAAATGACTGACAGCTGATCCTCCAGCAGGATTTCTGAGGCAGTTTAATTACACAGGAGGAAACTGCCCATCTTTCTTCCAAGAGCGCTTGGTGGAATTAAACTGCATGCTTTCAAGATTGCAGTGCAGCTCCTTACCTCCACTAGACTACGAGGGCTCCCTGGCATACATAAATGTATAGAGCGTTTATGGTATTCAACACTGAAATTCATGAGTGGCAGAGTACATAGAGCTGCAGTGGTTAATCTAAACGCCAAGCTTCTCTAGCAGTTCAAGTCCACCAGCTGTCCCACAGAAGAAAGGTGGGTGGTCTCTTCCTGTGCAATTTATAGCTTCAGAAACTCCCTGGGTGGTCAGCTATGAGTCAGAACAGACTTGATGGCAATGAGAGAAGGAGGGCATTGCAGCTATTTGAGCAAGGACCACATCTGGATTCTCCAGCACATAAGAGACTTTACAACAAGTACACAATAAATCATTGATTTAATCTCTAACTGAAACAAAAATGCATCATGCCGGCAACACATTAACTTACTGAATCAGCCTTAACTATTTAGCAGGGGTCAGAGAGAACAAGCATAATAACAGTAGTCAAAATAACAAATGTTAAGCCACCAACTCTGCCAGCTTTGTGTGAAACAAGAAAATAAAGGCTTCATTCTCTTAAAAGCAAAAAAAAAATAATAACAAATGTTTAACATTTATTAAGGGCTACCATGTATGGAGTGTAGTATTAAATGATTTTCACAGACTATTTCACATATCCTTCTAACAATCATATAAGGAAAGTGCAGGTTTAGCTTTTTTTTTTTTTAATGAGAAAACTGAGGAGTGAGGCTAATTACCCAAATACATATTCCTAGCTCCTAATTAGAGATTTAAAGATTCAACTGCAGCTCAGCCCAATACAAATCTGTTGAGCTTTAAAATATATTTGAAGTAATACTTAAATAAGCATTTCAATTTATGAATAAGATGTTTGAAAATGTATGCATATTAATTTGCACTGTAAAATAATGCCTTCTCCTATTCCTTTTCTGCCATTCTGAATATGCTTCTTAAAATACTTTTTAAACATTAGGGGGCGGGGAAATGCAAAGCTTCAGAAACTTAACTTTTTGTTTCTATTTTTTTAATTATTATTATTTTTTTTATATTATTTTTACGTGTACCGTCAAATCAGATCTGACGGGTACAGAGAAACTAACTTTTAGCTGGTAGGTTCCAGGGCCTCCTGGAAGCCATGTATTTTGTTTTCCTAAAGGAGATCTAAAATGGCCTGGTCAGCTCCACGCAGCCCTGCTCTGGAGCATCCAATGGGCCCTGGAACATGATGCACAAACTGCTTCCTGAAGGGATGGAAGAATTACTCACAATGCTTTTACTGATGACCAACCCTGAAATTTAGAAAATAGGCTGGAATGAAAGTAGTCTTGTTAGCATTCTTAAACCTACACTTTCCCCAAATTAGCTCCTCTTCCCAGACACGATGTTCTAATAATCACCTTCATGACACAAATTAGAAAGGAAAGGAAAACGTGTCCAAATGGTGTTAGATTCTGTTTCATTAGCCAAAACAATAACTCCTAATAGTATATTCTTCTAAACTCTTTATTATAACAGTATAATCTTCTAGACTTTAAAGCAAACACCTAGCCTGATAATAACACTCTGGAAACATAATTCAGAATCATGTGAATTTCCCCTAATACAAAGAGAGAAAACCCAATATTACTGTAAAAAATACACATAAATGCATGAATCAAACAAAAAAAATGAGTAGATCTCAGGTGAAAGTACAGGGGTAACCTGTGTATATTCATTTAAGGAAGTGCAAAGTCAGAGGAATCCAGGGTGTAATTAGTGAGTCAGGATGGCTCACTGAAGGGCAAGGACAAACAAAGCAAAATATATTCGCATCAGTCAAGTGAGTCTCTCTTATAACATGACGAATTTATACAGTCAGCCTCCCAAAAGTAGGCTTCAAGAGAGAGAAATGGAGATTGCTGTGCCCTATATTCTAGGAGGATTGACACAGTGATGGGATTTAAATGCAACAATGTGCTCAGATGTCAGGGATTTTGAGAATGGCACAGGATAAGGCAAGGTTCAGATGTGTTGTTTATAGGGTTGATATGTCCTTCTCGACTCAAAAACATCTAACAACAACCACCACCATATTTCACTTGGGATATGGTTTTGATATTATAAACAATAAACGAGAAAACAAAAAAAGTACACCAATTTACAGAAAAAATTATACAAATGAATACTCAGCCAGAAAAAAAACACATCAAGCTGTTTAAATTCCAAACTAATACAATTTAAGAAAAATGACTGCAGTTTCTCTCAACATTAAAACTGTAATTTTAGCAGTAACAATACAATGACATCAGAAATCGAATCAAAATATTAATTTTGTGGCGCTGGAGAAGAATGTTGGACATACCATGGACTACCAAGAGAACAAACAGGTCTGTCCTGGATAGAGAGATATCAAGTTTCTCCTTCAACGCAAGGATTTTGAAGCTCCATCTCACATACTTGGGGCACGTGGCCAGAAAAGACCAGTCCTTGGAGAAGGACATGATGCTTGGAAAGATACGAGGACAGTAAATGACTGGAAGTCCCCGGATGAGATAGTGACATGGTAAGTGGGGTAGTGGGGTAGGTGTGTTGGATAGGGCAGGCTCAGGATAGGGCAGAGTTCGGAGCTACTGTATATAGGGTTGCTATGAGTCGTAGGCAATTCGATGGTACATAACAACAACTTGAAAAATACAGAATGCTAAGCCACTCAACCAAGAAATGGCTTGTAACAGCAGGTTAATTTCAGATAAAATTCTTATTCCCTTTCAGGGCAAACAAGAAAGAGATAATTTCAATAAAGGCAGTCCTTATGGTTACCAACATCCAACTTCTAGATAATGCATAATTCCCTCACCCCAAGCTCCCCCATAAAACGATTGAGAGCAAGTTGGCTCTGATTCAAGTGACCCCTTATCATGTTTCTGGGGCTGTAAATCTTAATGTGAGCAACTGGTGGATTTGAACAACTGACTTTATGGTTAACAGTATCAAATAGTATACTCTACACCACCAGGATTGCTTGCCTTGTGCTTTAATGTAATGTAAACTTGACATCATTTTGAAACAACTGAACTTAACTATAACAAGTTTATCATCACCTTCATTTGTTGTGTGTGCAGCTTTGAAATCACTGACTCTAGTGATTTTAGAGTCATTCCTTGCACTAAAAATAGCTAAAGAAGAAGTATATGCATTTATTTGAACTCACCTATAAATTTGACTTAAAAACTCACTTAGCCTTAAAGACATACATGGGAACTAGTCTGAAGATTTGGTTGTAACCTGGGGAATGACTGTATATCAAGAATCAGCCTCTAATGTGAATCTTCATATTAAAAACAACCCTCTTCTCAGAGAGTTTACTACTGATTGCTAAAGATTTTGATCTGTCTGACTCTAAGTTAGATTTAATACTATTTATCTTAAGATTTAGAATGAAGACCTGGTGAGTTTCAGTCAGCCATTGAAAAACCTATGAAACACAGTTTTACTTTACTATAAATTGGGTCAGAACAGACTTAACTGCAAAAGGTTTGACACTACATTTATTCTTTCTTGTGGTCTCTAAAGCAGGGAGTAATCAACTAGTCACACACACACACACATGGTAAAGTCCTTGTTTCCCCTGCCATATATGAAACTACCCCTGCTCTCTGCATATATCCCTTTAACCATACCTCACTTTACCTCACTTTTCACAAGCGTCTAATAATTTTTCAAAGTCTTAGCTTAAATTTACATTTCCTCAGTGGAAACCTTTCCAAACTAGGTTAAATATTATGTTCTTTGAGGTACTTTTTTGGGGAACTTAATCAATTGTAAATATATTTTTGCATAGTTATTGTTCGACTTCCTTACTTAAATTTAAGTTTCATGAGAGTAAAGACCATACCTGCCTTGACTACCACTATATTTCCACTACCTTAGCACAATATAACATATAATACAGTAACTACTGATGGATATTGTTTCAGTGAGAACATTTTAAAAAATTATTAACTAAATTATATCAAGGAAGCATGCACTTCAGAAGTGTCTCAGAGCAAAGCTTTAACATGCTGTATCATATAGGCTGAACAATGAAATCATATGCTAAAATGGAACTAACTAAAACAGATGGAGTTCCAAGTAACTAGCAGTTTACTAAAGTCTTCTCCAGAGTGCAGTGGTAGGAACAATGGCTTAGTTTTGGAGAATGCTAGCAGTGAAGGCCAAAGAATCTAGTACTCATCTACTAATAAACCAAGTTTCTGGCAGGTCAGAAATGACTATACCCTTTAGATGGTAAAGTCTACACAGGTAGTCAATTTGAAGGTTATTTTAATGCAATTTTCTTTTTTTTCTGTGATTTGGGTGAAAACATGCATTTTCTCATCCTTTATTTTAGAAAGAGTTCAATGAATAGTCTGCTTTGTTTAGACAGTTCTCCTCTGGGCATTGTTCATTCTTATTTCTCACCAGAGTATCAAAAGGAAGCAAAAAGATTCTCTCTTTTCCTTCCATTCAAATTTGGCTCATGTCTACAACTCACCTGAACAGCTCCACCCAGCATGGCAGCAACCAGCCCCATGGACATGCTCAGCGTTTGCGATTCCACAGTGCTCTCTGCCTGATGGGCCAAGCTTGCACATGCTCTCTGCAGAGTTGCTGCTACAAAGTCCACCACCTATCACAGAAAAAGAATTTACAATCAGGGAGGAGTGAGAAGAAGAAGAAGAAGAAAAAAACAACCTCAAAATTCATCTTCTTCCTTATCAATATTATGATACCAACACCATCTATAACAATCCCTACCATCTAGTAAGTGTGTTTCTAAGTGCCTTACATGTATAATCTCATTTAGGTCTCATATATGTTCTATGAAGTAGAATAGGTATGAACTACTATCCTCATCTTCTAGTGAAGATCTGACATTTTATAAAAATTATTTGTTCGAGGCCATACAATTAGTAAATGAGAATAAGTTTCATTTATACATATGCCTCTTCTAAGAAGGTTGCTTCTTGGGAGATTTTACTTCTCATTTTTTAATAAGATTTTTCTTTTATACCGGTTTACTTACAAAGCCTTCCTCCCAAGGCTTCCTACTACTTACAATAAAGAAAGAGGTGTTCAATTTTATCTAGAAGCCAATGTTCTTAAATAATCTATGCAAACAGATTCAAAGCCATTTTTATAAATTAAATATTTTTAAAGGATTAAGATTATTCAGATATAAGATTTTACACAGCATTTGGCTAATAACTAAGCTTCACTTGAAATTAATTTGGTCAGCAACATTTTAACTACATTTAATCACCTAAAGTAGAAACACCTTTGAATAAAAGACAGCACACGTGCACATACGCACATACACACACACACGCATACATCTTTAGGATTAATGGCTGAAAGGGAGAAAAAACATTTGAAATGAGGAGGTTAACATAGGTATGTGAACAGCTTCTAAATATCATGCAAGCTGGCAGGTTTAACTCTCTGGACAAATCACATGCTGCGCAAGAATCCTTATTACAAGCTCAAAGTCAGGAAAATGGTTTGTTAATGCTTGGTTTTTGTAGGAAGGCAGGAAATTTTAAAAGGTTATTAAAAGTTCCATTTACTGCAATAAACAAACTGGTTATGGCAATTTTCACAACTTTCTTTAGCCCTAAGACTTGACCGTTACTAAAAGTTAAAGACATTAATTTCCTAGAGCAGTAATTCCATCTATCATCTTGGACCACTGATTTTGTCACCAAAGTTTTCTAAAGCATTCTTTATTTGTATCAAGCCTCTCATTCAGCAGCTATATTGCTGAATTAATAAAACAGAACAATCCAAGTTTCCGACTTTTCCTAAGCTCCTGTCCATAATAATAACAAAAAGTTTTAATATAAAAAGAATGATCTCACTTTTGTCAAGAAAGAAGTTATCTCTGTGTGTGAAAAAAATGGGGGAGGTGTTCACTGTGATGTGCTGGTCAGCTTTTACTACTGTTTATAAAGCACCTTTCCCCGGCTGTTCTTTTAACAACACAGACACCAAACTTCTATCTCACCTAACAATGGTCCTCCCCCCTTGCTCTTTTCCTACGGTTTTGCCAAAGATGTGACTGAAGTCAATTCTAGAATTTATGTATGTTAAAGAAAGGACGGAGAGACATTCAACTTTTACTTAAAAGTTTTGGCGATGACATATAATTTAAAAAGTCCAATAGTCATGAGAGTGTATTTAAAAATAAACTACCCTATTTCTCTCCCACATCATTCTGGCCTTTTAGAGAAAAAGACTTCTAATTATTTAGCTATTTAATAATATTAAGCATTTATTATTTACCAAATATCCTACTAAATTTATTTCAAGTGCTTGCTTTAGCAGCACATATAGTAAAATTGGAACAGTACAGAGAAGATTAGCAGTTTGGAGCTTTTTCTGGGACATCACTTTAAAGCTTATCTCATCAGCAGTCCATCTAATGGTTTTAATAAAATTGATAATTGTTGCCTAGATTCATTGATTTCACTAGTGGTTGCAAAATGCCATTTTCTAGTTTTCTTTCTGCATTTTTAAGCTGTGAATTTTAGGGGGAAAAACCTACACATATTCTCCTTATTAACTATTTGGCTATGTTATACAATTTCCACAGGAAAAGAAAGATATATTCTCCAGTCTTCACCTTTATTTACAAAATGAGTTGATGTTCTAGCAACTTCATGATGAATTATGAAGAGGTTTTACTGTTGTTGTCTTGATTCTGATTTTTCTCTTTAGTAGTAAATAGATTTAGAAACTATAATTTAGGCACTAGAAATGCTAATTGTTAAAAAGTCAACATTGCTCCTAACCACTGACAATGAACAGATAAATAAACATTTTTTAAAAAATCCCTGGTGAGCTCTGGTGGCCTAGTGGCAAGAAGCTGCACTGCAATCCCAGAGGTGCGCGGTTCAAATCCACCAGATGCTCTGCTGAAGGAGGAATAATCACCTCATGTACCACTCAGATCCGATTTGACAGTACACACATAAATAATAATAATAATAATAATCCTTAATTCATCCTAATATGTCCAATTGAAATTCAATGTTATAGGATTTTACTTAAGTTCTTTGGTTTTAAATTACTTCTTTAATTTTTTAAATTGTCATTCCTACTGATAGTCTACATTAGTCAGGTGCTGAGAAGTCAATTTGGTGATTCACAGCAACCCTATGACAGAGTAGAATGGCCCACGAGATTTTCTAGGTTGTAACCTTTATGGGGGAGCAGTGAGCTCATAACTGAGGTAGTGGGCAATTCAAATCCACCAGCTGCTCCACAGGACAGAGACAGTCTGCTCCCATTAAGATTCATAGCCTCAAATCAGGCTATTACAAAGTTCTACTCTGCCCTGTAGGGTCACTATCAGTCATATCCACCTTGACAGCGGTTTTGGTTGGTTTGATTCACTAATCTTTACTGGAGCAGATCACCAGATCTTTCCCCTCGGGAATCACCAGGCAAGTTCAAAGGGACAACCTTTCCTTTACAACTGAACACTTAACCATCAGGCAACCATTGTGCCAAGTGATTATTTATAACTTATTTGCTTTAGCATGTGTCTTTCAAAATAACATATAGATGTCATCACTGGCATTAAAACTATTACATTTTTAAAAATTATTACATTTTATATTTTTTATGTTCTTTTTGTTCTGATACATTTTAACCTTGGCTGACATTTTAATCACTTCTTTACCCACCTAACACTATTGTTCTTTAATAGGGAGTAAAGGGAGATAAGTGAAAAACCTCAAGTCATATCAGTTTCTAAACCATTTCCCTTTCCAATTGGCATCCTGAGACAAAGACATAAGGTCTGGGTGAAAAAGTCTCCAGGGAACTGATATAAACACAGTAGAGGCAAATCACCCAACTGAGTAACATGGGGTGAGTAAACTGAAGGAATGAGAGGCCAGGAAAGAAATCATGATCATAATTCTCATTAAACAGGCAAGATAAGTCAGGGCTGACAGGCAGCTGCAAATTTTCTCAGCAGGAGCTATAGTGAAATGCTGCTTAGCAACACCCGAAGGCAGATGACAATGAAGAAGATACAAAGAGCTGGAGAATCAGATTTAAGCGTGACAATCATATCATATTACAACTGACTATTCACCAACCAGGCAACAATGAATTCTGGTAAAGTGGTAGAATATGCTATCTGCACTGCCTCTATTTTTATTCCCTATTATAAACAAAACCAACTAGTAAAAATAGTTTAAGATAATAAAATCCAAGCACTGATTCACAGTTACAACACTCTAAAAGCTTTAAAAAAAATCATAAAACTTCACAGAATGCTATGGAGATAAGTTGTTAGAGGTCCTGAAAAAAAGATGACATTATGCTCACTAGTAATTTTTTTCCCCAAATTTGATTTACAAATTCTTCTCACCTTTTGATGCACATTAGACTCATCCATTGAGATCTAATGCAGACAGATGGAGCAAGAATTTCTAAGAATGGACTGTCCATCTATATTTTGAAAAAGATCCCAGACATTTTTACTTGCATCAAAAGTGGAAGTTATAACCCCTAAGGCAGGAAAATGCCCACAAAACATTAAAGTTCTTCTGGGAGTTGCACCTTTTGTAGGCTGCACCCTGTTCCTTAAACCTGAAGATGTCTCCTCAAGCCTGTGGGCAGCATGCCCAGATTCCCAGACCTTAAGACACTGTCACAGTTGTCTCTTTTAGTCCCTCTATACAGTTGCAAGGATTTCTCCACATGTGTTATTTGGTTGTTGTTATTCTTATTAGTTTTGTTACTGTTTTAAAGTGTGCCCTTTTGTGATCAGCACTGTAACTTCTAGAAAAATAAAATTTAGACTCTAAACTTTAAAAAAAAATTGAAATTACTTCCACATAACATTTTTTTTAAAGGATGTCACTTTTTTAAAATTTTTATTGTATTATTTTTACGTGTACCGTTAAATCAGATCTGACTGGTACAGGAAGAGATTGCCCCCTCCTCCAAGAGAGCATCTGGTGGATTTGAACCGCGTATCTCTGGGATTGCAGTGCAGTGTCTAGCCATTAGGCCACCAGAGCTCCCTGTTATAACATTTTAAAACTCAAACTCACTGCTGTAGAGTCGGTACCAACTCATAGTTAACTCTCCAGTGGGTTTCTGAGGCTATACCTTGCACCAGAGGAAGCTGCACATCTTTCTCCCTTGGAAATGCTAGCACATTCAAACAGCCAGAGAGGTACTACCTTTGGATTAGCAGAGTTATTTCTTACAGACTAGACCCCGAGAAATCTCTCCAGCATATAAATATGTATAGCAGTTATTCAACTTAAATGTTTATTCTTATCAGTACAGACACTTGGTATAAACATGCTGATTTCCAGGTCCTATAAATTTCTGAACTTTTTAGTCTGGTGTGAGCTCAATAATGTACACATGTAACTAACATTCCAGGTAACGCTGATGCCAATGTCATCAAACCACATTCCAGGCAACAATTTTTCCCAACTTTTTAAAAAAAAAATGTAAAGAAACCAAAACAACTATGAAGTATCATCTCACCCCAGTAAGAATAGCAACATTTAACATGACAGCAAGGAACAAATGCTGGCGAGGTTGTGGAGAAACTGGAACTCTTATTTGCTGTTGGTGGGAATGTAAAATGGTGCAACCGTTGTGGAAAGTGGTGTGGTGCTTTCTCAAAAAGTTGCAAATAGAGATACCATTTGACCCAGCAATTCCATTACTGGGAATATACCCCGGAGAGACCATAACTTCCATCCAAGCAGATATATGCACACCCATGTTTATCGCAGCTTTGTTCACAATAGCAAGGAGGTGGAACCAACCTAAGTGCCTATCAACAAAGGAATGGATAGAGAAGCTGTGGTATATTCACACAATGGAATAATACGCTGCATTGAAAAACAAGGAACTCGTGAAATAATTATACAAAATGGGTGACCCTGGAGGATGTTATGCTGAGTGAAATATCTCAGCCACAAAGGGACAAATACTGCATCATGCCACTGCTGTAGAATGGGACTGACATCAGGGTTGGGGTAAGACTGAGAAAAACTGGATAAATTATGCATACTGTATTGAAACAGGTGAGGAAGAGAACAGGTTAAATGAGATATATGATTGGGTATTATAGTTATCACAAGAGTCCAGAATAAAGGTTGCATAGTGAAGTGTGCTCGGGTTGGGGGCAGTGGGGGGATTATATACCAACGAAGGAATTTTTCTTTTTTCTTTTCAAAGAGAGGAACGAACTGGAGGGGAGGGGTGGGCACAGAGAAAAGTGCAACAATGAATGAATGGAAATCCAAAATCTCTGTAAATGTTCATTAAAATAAAAAAAACAACAAAATCAAAAAAAAAAAAAACAACGTAAAGAAACCAAAAGAGACCAGCAGCACCAGAATGTGGGCTTCCAGTGTGGCAGTCACTGACCTGAGTGATGTCTGTGAATATCTGCTCTGACATCCTCTCACACAAAACTGCCACCAGCTGCAGGATCAGCAGCTTCCGCTCCTGGCCTTCTACAAGCAGAGTCTGGTGCTGTTCTAATTCCAAGAGGCTTTTACTAGAGAAGGGCTTCGTTTTCAGCTCTGCATCATTTTCCCCAGCCACTTGAGTCAATTCCTGTGAGTAGGAGAGAAGAGAAAACACGAAGAGCCTGCAGAATTGGGGACTTCGGAAACACTGCTAGTTTGAAATGGAGGTTTAAAGAACTAGGCTGTGTTCACTGTGGCCCCAAACTGCAAACAACCTAAATGTCAAGCAATAAGAGTAGGTAATTTGTGGTATATTGATTGCAACACACGGTTAAAAGAAATTAAATACAAGGATAGATTTTAAAAGCACCGGTGAGCAAAATTTTTAAGTTCTAAAATAATATGTAGTTGTGCTACTATGTATATAAAAATGTAGTAAATTATGATTTTAAAAAACCCTCATACACACATATAAAGAACTAGACAGACTTATTTACCAGTATCTACTGCTAATCTTCCATGAATAGAGATCTCAGATTCAGGATCCTTTAGTGACTACTAGATGCTTTCAGCATAATAATTCTTTATCACTAAAATATTTAGAGCTAAACATCTACTTACAATTCATGAATGCAGGTTTTGCATCCTTCTCATCTACCCTTTAGACTGTAAACTTCCTTAAGTAGGGGGAAACGGTAAGCTTTTCATCAATTAATGCTTTATCAAAGTAAAGGATGGTTTAGAGCTATAGTTCTCAACTGTGACTGGGTAACTGTGTTCCCCAAAGGACTCTGACCATGTCGGAGAACATCTCTGGTTATCATAACTGGAGTACCATTTGCACCTAATGAGGAGCTGCCAGGATGCTGCTAAACATCCTCCAATAAATGGGCAACCCACCACCACAAAAAGTTATCTGGTTCAAAAATCTCATTTACAGCAAAGCCCTTTGAGTGTTTCTTTGACAATTATTTTTTAAAACCATTATAATTAAAAGCATATTTCTTGGGAATATTATATAGACTGAGCATGAGGAGACCAGAAAACATAAAAAAGTACTCCCTGTACCCTTAATTTCCTCCTGTATTCTTCCCACTCCCCCTCCCCAACTCCCATCCCCCCAACCTTAAACCCTACATATATTACCTTAGACAGTTCATTCAGGGGCAATAATGGAAAAGGCAGAGCTCGGGGAAAGGGAATCAGCGATTATCTGGTTTATAATATCAAAGTGTACAAATAAGGAATGACATTAGAGGGTACAAGGGTACAAGCTACTATCAGAGATTAGGGCCAAAGGAAGCACCACAGGCATTTAAGAAACAAACCGGGAAAAGGTTCAAGTGGCTACAAAACTAAATGAGAGAGGCAGAACTGCTAAATCTCCTCTCCAAATACCTGACAGAACAAGAGTCAGAAAGAATAAGGGATTATTCTGTGGCTGTAAAACCCTCTATTAGCTTCAAAAGAGTTCTTACTGTCAACACAGAGCAAAGATTAACCCTTCCATAACCCACAGTTCTGCTTTGTTCACGCTGAAAATTTCATGGTAGATTACCCTGAAGTAGTTAGATCACACATATGCTACGCTACTACAGACAAGTTTCTGTTTTGCCACTCCCTAAAAGCTACTATGTCCTCTGAAAATTTTCTCTAAACTGGTACTGAGAGTTTAGGTACTAAAATGACAAATTACTTAAAAATCCTACTTAGAAAAACTCTTTACTTAAAGACCCTCTTGGAACGATGCTGGAATAATAGTGACCATGAGCTTTCCACTGTTCTTACCTTCAAGCAGAAGATGAAGAAGTCTCCTGCCAAACCCGATTCCTGACAGCGGGACAGCAAGTCCCCAAGACGTTCCACCTGGCACTGCTCTGAGGACAGCTTCTGATATAGGGCTTCATCTTCATCTTCTTCACTGCAAAGCAGGGGACTATCACTCAGATTTTTTTTAATAAATTTTTTTTAATTAGCATGCTGCTTCCATTCAGTCAAGTATTGTTGTTGTTGCTGTGTGCCATCAAGTCAGAACTGACCCATAGCTTACCCTCAGGAGGGTTTTCGGAGGCAGTTAATCATACAGGAGGAGACTGTCCATCCTTCTCTGGCGTAGCAGCTGGTGGATTCAAACTGTGTGCCTTTGGGACTGCACTGAAGCTTCTTACCACTAAGCCACCCTAAAATTTTCTTTTGTTTATGTTCTTATTTCTCCATGTTGAAAAATGTGTTTTCAGAATTTAGGCTCGTGTCCTGCGTGATCAAGTGTTCATACTCACTCAATCGTTGCCTCAAATGAGAACCAATTAATAGCTGACCCTCCACTGACTTTGTGAGTCTGTTTTCCTCCCTTGGAGCCGAATGGTCGATTCCAAATGCCAGAGGTGCATCCTCTGGGTTAGCAGCACAACCCTCTGTGACGTAGGGGACCAGAGCTCCCTGGTTACTCACGAAACAAAGAAACATGCACAGAGGAAGCAGCTTTTCAAAGAGATGTTAAAAAGCTACTACTACTAAAAAAAAAGAAAAAGCAACTACTATTTTGCTATGCTGTAAAATCAAAGACAGTAATATAAACTGACTATAGATCCAGTTTCTTAGCCAGAAAAGAAAGAAAGAAGGCTTAAAAGTAAGGACTCATCATAGAGGATGAAGACCATGGATATCACTCAAAGGGACTTTTTTTAAAAATTATACAAAGTAATAAAGACAATCTCAAGTAATACAATCAATTACTTGAGTTAAGGAAGTGCATAAAAGTTCAGAAAATAAAATAGGCCAAATAAAATTCCCAAGGAATAAAATGTGGCTAAGTAATTAAAGACTGCTATAATTTCGTGAAAATTCTATGAGGTTCAGAATGATCTGAGACTTTTAGTTTTAATTTCATCTGTTAAGTATAGAAATCAGGATTCACTACAATAATAATGTATTGTATAAACATATAAAAATGCACAGAAGATACAGAGAAAGCAAACACTATGAACATCTATATTTATTGCAGTGATATTCACAATAGCAAAAGAGATGGAAGCAACCCAAGTGCCCATCAACAAATAAATGGATAGAAAAACTATGGTATATTCACACAATGGAATATTATGCAACAATGAATAACAAAGAACTCATAAAATATTACATAACATGGGTGACCCTGGAGGACATTATGTTGAGTGAAATATCTGTCACAAAAAGGACAAATCCTGCATTACACCACTGTTACATAACAGGACATGGGGGTTAGGAGAAAACCAAGAAAAGAGGGATAAGTAATAAATACTGCATTGGAAGAGATGAAGGAAAAAATTGTTTAAAAGGAATATCTGATTAGGCATTATTTGTATGACAAGAGTCCAGAATAAGAAGTGCACAGCAAAGTGGATAGGGTGGGAGGAGGAGGGAGAGAAAATGATGCAAAAATGTATGATTTTCTTTTTTAAAAAAAGTGAACTGGGGTGGGTAGGGAGGAAAATGTGCAACAATGAATTAATGAAAATATAATTGTTCTATAAAATTTTGTTTAAATCCCAATTAAAAATTTAAAAAAGAATGAAAACAAACCCTAAATTTAAACAAAGAATAGGACATCACCTAGATTACTGCTTCCCTCTTTATGCTTCTTGTTTTATATGAAGATAGCACTTTCGTGATCCAAAACAAAGAATACATTTTTTCCATAGTAAATTGAAAAAAAAAAGTTACAGACATTGCCTCATCTCATTAAAAAATAAAATTTAGGAAACTATCTCATTAGGCAATATATTCCAATCTGCCAGTTCACTAATAATATTGTCTTGATAATCCTTTAAAGAATCTCTTATAAACTATGCTTCATATTACTTCTTATATTATCCCAGAATCTTCCAAAGTCCTTCAGATTCATCATGTTTCCACTAGCACAAATTGTTCTTCTATATTAGAAGAAAAGTATTCATATTAGAAGAAGAGTCGAAATGGAGAAACAATACTTTTTTATCTTAGTTTGCTTTTAATTTTGGGTGACAGTTTAGAACAGAATGTTACTCTTAGGTGCCACTGAGTCAAGTACAATTCATAGCCACCCTATGGAACAGTGAACATGAACCCTGCCCTACCCTGGACCATTCTCATTCTCTCCAATATAGTACAGTCACTGTGTGGATTCATCTTGTTGAGGACCTTCTTCTCTTTTGCTGATTCATCACACTTTCAAGCACAGCAAATCAGTATTCCTTAAGCCATTCACACAAAGTTTGCTTTATGACACTGATTACAATCTCCACATTCCAAGAATATTCTTCCCACAACTTCTCTGTGGTTCTTGTTTCCATTCATCTGTTCATGCTCTCCCTTCTCACCTTCTGAGCTTTCTCCTTGGGCACATGCTGCTCTTTTGATCTTGTATAACTGTTGTTCTTAGCAGCAGTACCTCTCCGATGTTACTGTTCACCTGATTAGGTCTGTCTACTGTTTGGTTGAAAGTTGTGACAGAAGAATGAACTCAGTTCCAGATTCAAAGGATGCCTAAGAGTCATAATCTCAGGGCTTCCAGCAGATTCCATCAGGTTAGTAAACTTGGCATTTTCATGATTTTGAGTTTTGTTCCACATTCATCTCCCTATCTCAGATTCTACTATGCTCTCATTCAAAACAGTGGCAGCCAGGCACGATGTAGTTTTACTGATCTCAGGATCACAAAAACTGAGGTTCATGAGTACTACATGTCTTTGATTTGTTTTTGTTTTGTTTTGTTGGTGCTTTGTGGTGTGGTTTTTTCCCCCCAAGGAGAGATCAATGGCTTTTGATGGCCATTTGCAAGTTTTTAAGAACCTAGTCAATGCCCGCCAGTGTAAGGTGTAAAATATTGTCTTTATACATCACCTTTTTTTTTACACATCACTTTTAAGCTTTTGAAGTAGCACTATTGGCACAGTGCATATTAATGTATTAGGCTGCTGATCAAAAAGTTAGCAGTTCGAATCCACCAGCCTTTCTGCATGACAAAGACAAGGAGTTTCCTCCTGTAAAGTTTTAAGGCCTCAGAAAGTGATGGAAGATCACTAAGATTGGGAATCTACTTGATGATGGTACGTTTGGTTTGTTGAAGGTTTTTTTAAAGCTTTTTAAATAATCATGATTGTTTATATAAAAATAAACTATACTGAAATATTCTAAAACAGACAATAATTATTTTAAGAAGTACTATTTTTGTCCTTAAAATCTCAATCGTAAAATATCAATTCCAAACACTCATATTTAGTTCCTGAAAGGAAAACTCTGGATTCAAAGAACTTCGAAGTGAAACTGCTCTTGTAGGATTCCACTCAACAGACTCCAAACTGATAAATGGTGCTTAATGCTCAGCACGGTGGCGGGTGCGAAGTAAGCGTTGATACCATGTGTCTGATCTTACCCTTGTGGGACCAGAACGATAAGCAGGGTATCTGTAACAAATGATAAAATCATACACCCACACACACATACACACACACAGCCCTCTCTCTGATACACTGGCCTTTTAGTTGACTAAAAAGTCAAGTTTTGGGGGACACAGACTATTCTATGCATCTAATGAAAATATGAATCCCATATTTAAAAAAATCACATTTTTACAGATAAAAATAAAATTTTGTATATCATTTAGGGGGATTAGAAATGCCTATAAGTCCAGGTTAAGGCAATCAATCTGAGGAGCTTTCTTTCTTTTGCTGACTCTCTGCTTTCCCAAGCATGATGTCCTTCCCCAGGGATGGACACCTTCTGGTAATATATGCGAAGTATGCGAAATGAAGTTTCATCAGTCTTTTTTCTAAGGAGCATTCTGGGTGCAAGATCAGGGAGGATTCCACTCTGTTTTACACAGTGAACATGAAGCCTGTTTGACGGCACCTATAAACAACAGGAGCTTTAGTGGTCTAGTCAAAAGGGAGTTGAGCTGCTAACCCAAAACGGTGGTTTGAATCCATCAGCAGCTACTTCGGTGAAAAACTGGCAACTCCTCCCATGTGATTTACAGCCTTGGAAACCAATAGAGGATCAGCAAAAATCTGGTTATAACTGGCAATGAGTGAGTGTATGAGTAATAATAACAACAGAAGTTCAGACAAAGATCCCAGGAGAAGAATAACTTTGACAGTGAATAGAAAATCATTCTCTCAACTGATCATTTTTTTTTTCCTGTCAAAGACAAAGCTACTATGGTTTCAATATGATTTTGACATTCACTAAGAATGGTACTAACACTGATATTATCAATGGCTTCATTTTACTTGGATCTATGGATGCAGTAGTCAAGAAATTAAACAACATACTGCACTGCATAGATCTGCTGTAGAGGATTTCTTCAAAGGTCTTTAGAGCAAGGCTGTCACTTTAAGTGCACCTAACTAAAGCCACGATATTTTCAGTTGCATATTTTCCATATGCATGGAAAGTTAACAAATAAGAAAGATTGAAGAACTGATGCCTTTTGAATTGTGGTGGATATTTTAAGAGATAATAATATAAAAGAATATAATACCATGGATGGCCAAAAGAATGAAGAAATCTGTGTCAGAAGTACACCCAGGGTGCTCTTTAGGGGCAAGGACAGTGAGGCTTCATCAGATACTGGAAAAGGACATCACACTTGGAGAATGAGCAGAGGAGAAGAGGACACTCAGAGCAAGGGACTGACACACTGACTGCAACAACTTGTGAAGATAACACAGAATCATGTAGATTTCATTTTACATAGGGGTCAGAGTCAGAGATTACCTGACAGCATCTTATAACAGCAGCAATAAAAAGGATGTTAAAGACTTGTCAAGATAAGCATTTCCAACTATTGATAAGTGAAAGATAGGAATGAAACCAGTCCCTGTGTCTTTAAATAGAATTTGTAGATACATTTTAACTAATGCATTTGTGTCTTATGTAGACTCTGCAAAGGTTTAAAAGTTGCACAGACAGCAAGTGAAGATGACTGTGATGAAGAATCTGTTGATGGGCTGGTGTAATCATTTACAAGTATGGACATATTTACACAATATTAAAGTAGGGTTTCAAAACAACACTGCCCCAAAGATGGTAGCTTCTGGCTTAAACAGCTCATCAATCGCACCATTCCATAGTCCTACCAATAATAAACTACGCATCTTCCTAGTCTTCCATTACAGGACCTCACTTGGTTACCTCTGTTCTCGTTACCATGAGAAAACATTCAAACTGTACAAATCCCAATCTGTTTCTGTTTCATTTTGAAGCCCTACATTAAAGGGCCACTTGGAGTTATTTAGAAATTGGACAATCATAACCTGAGGCCCACCTGTACTGTAAAATTCCCTATACCGTCAGTAAACTGGAGCCCTGCTGATACACTGGTTAAAACTCTCAAACACTAACCAAAGAGTCCAAAGTTGGAACCCACCAGCTGTTCCACAGGCGAAAGAAGTGGCAGCCTGCTTCCACAAAAATTTACAGCCACGGAAACCCATGGTGCAGACTGAATCTTCTTTTATTTTTATGGTTGCTGTGAGTCAGAATCAAGTCAACAGGTTTTGGTCAGTATATTGATACTAGGTTACTGTTCCAAAGAGATTTTAAAATGAATGTACCGGAGAATCTTGATACCATTCAGAAGAAGCAGAGACGAAGCTCTGGTGGTCTAATGGCAAGAAGCTGTACTGCAATCCCAGAGGTACACAGTTTGAGTCCAACAGATGCTCTGCTAGAGAAGGTGGGGAAATCTCCTCCTGTACCAGTCAGATTCAATTTGATGGTACACACACACACAATTAAAAAAATAAAAGAAAGAAAGAAGCAGAAAGTGCAATGTGTCCTTTGGGCTAGAGATTCCTGCCCAAGACAGCCTTAGGTCAGCGACAGCAGCAGCAGAAGTAGCAGAGAACCAGAGAAGGACATGAGCCAGAAGTGAATTAGAATTCCCCCTCAGAGGTAGAGTCAAGGGCCTTCACTCAAGTTAACCGAAGAGCTGGGGGAGATATCATAGTTGGCAGGACTGAAAGAACTAAGGAACGCTGGCCCTAAGTGGCAAGACTGACACTCCGAGGGCTGACAAGCATGTGTGAAAAGCTGTCTTGACTGAAGAACTCTATCTTGACTATTTTGAAACTGAACTGTAACCTGTTTGTTGTTGTTAGGTGTCATCAAGTCAACTACAACTCATAGTGAGCCTGTGAACAACAGGATCTTAACGTCAGCCGATCCCGCATCGTCCTCCTGATCTCGGTCCTGCTCCAGCTCAGTGTGGCAGTTACTGCATCAATCCTTCTTGTTGACGGGCTTCCTCTCTTTTTACCCACCCTCTACCTTTCCCTCCGTGATTCTCTAAGAATCTCTAGAAAGAGAAACTTATTACTCCCCCAAGAAACCTCATAAACATGAAAAATAAATAGAGTGAATATGCCAAAAAAATTTTAGACACTTTCAGTTCAACTTCATATTTATAACCACAAAACCTACTAATGGTCAACAGTTACTGCCAAATTAGTAGTTTGAGTTTATTGGTCTTTTTCAACTTTTCTCAAAATTTCCATACTAAAAAGCGTATTTTAAAACTTTACAAAGTTAATCATGAATATTAAAGTAAATTTAAAATTCAAAAAGCATCAACATTTTGAAGGTAATAGGGTATCCAAATAGGGCAGCTACCACTAGTTAAATACTATGTGGATCCTAATCAACAGGAACTTGAATTCTGTCCTATGTATGTCATCCTAAGAATGGAAATAAATTAGATCTATGAGACACCAGAATCATAAATTCTTACCCAATCAACATTTATTAAGTATCTTGTATATGCAAAGGCAGGTGGTTTGAATCCACCAGCTGCTACGTGGGAGAAAATGGGCAATCTCCTCTTATGTGATTTACAGCCTCTGAAAACTCACTGGAGGGTCAGCTATGAGTCATTTCCAAACTGTTGATAGTGGGTTTTATGAAATGTACGTTCATAGGGTCGCTATGAGTCGTCTACGACTCGACAGCACGTAACAACAACACCACCAAGAATACAAGGCACTGAGTATTATAAAATAGGCAATACTCAATTCTTTCAATTAATCAAATCCCTGTTGTTGCCCTATCAAATTCCTAGAAGAAACAAACCTCTCCTGTAAAACATTATTATAAAGCATAGCTATAAGACAATTTCCTTTAAGTATATCTCTGACTCTGAACATACACTATTTTTAGAGTCAAGAAAAGAACAGGATTATGTGGGTTTTGAGAGTCAACACGTATATGATCCAAGGCCAATTCTCTGGCAAAGCAAGCATATTGAAATGTGGATCTGTGAAGTCCTGGTAAACTGCACATACTGTTTACCATAGCTTGTTACTGGTAGGTGCTGTTGATGGATTTCTAACTCAGATCCTATGTGCTAGAAATCTAGGCGAAAAATACCTGGAGAATTACCTAAAGCTCACATTGCACTAAGAGATGCTAAATAGAAAGTACTTCCCATACAAGAGTGTCTGGTTTCCTTTCTATAAGCGCCCCTTAGTGGCTGAGTCACAGAACTGCCTCTTGTGTAGAACTAAATCTGAAGCGAGGTAATAAAGGATGGGTGAACTCACCCACTGGCATTGTGGATGGTAATCATAATGCCGCCATGAGTGGCAGCTCTAAAATGACAGAGAGGCTGGAGAGAGGGCACAGATTTGTCTAATCCCACAAATCCTTTCAGACTTGCAATTGCCTTCTTCCTTTCAAGCTTCCTTAGAATCCATAATAAGATTTCTTCACAAAGTGACCTGGGAGAAAAAACAGTTATGAATGAGTCTGTCATCTTGCTCTACCCATCTAACAAGCTACCGTAAAAAAGCAAAAGGACTGATAGTTCCACTGCATTCTAAATACTGGCACATCACCTAGTCAGATTACCATGCAAAAGTGGAAAGTATGCTTTATATGAATATCATAAGACAAATATCCTAACATTTCATGAATGTCTAATCTTTGGCTCTGATTCTGATAATCAGTGTAATCTTGTAATGTCAAATGAGCCTCATATGATTTTTTTTATTCCGCCTTTTTTTATTGGTTTGCTTACAAAGTTTGTATACACTGTGTTTCACACTATTCGTCATTCACACAGTGTTTCATACAATCATTCTCATGCATGTTTTCATACACTCATTCTCACTTATGTTTTATAAAATTAATCACCATTGGACCTTATCCATCATTACCATGTCTTTTCAGCTTTATTTTTTTCATAATTTTAATACATAAACATATACTACTGCCCTTAGAACAAGCACTGCCATTCAAAGTTTACATTGATAAAGTCATTGATTAACAGCAGGAACAATAGCTTGTAACCAGAAAACAGTATATTTACAAGACTCCTCATTCTATTTTATCTTTGCTGGTTAACTAAGAGAGGAGCAGAATAAGCATTTACTTGTTCCTTCTTACATTCTTCGTTTGGTTTGTTTTTCTATTATTTTTTTTTCTTCTCACTCTCTGATGAGGACACTACAGTGCTATGAGGACCTTGGTTTCATTACTACTTGGACATCCCTGAAGCCAAATGTGCACGTTATAGTGTCCACCTCCCAATGTATTATCTCTTACCACTGCCCTTGCAAGTGTGCTGACCAAAGTTGGAGAGACAAAGATAGCATGTAAGCTTTCAATAATATGCAAAACCTAGTATTTTCCTTTATTACTTAATAATGATCATGATGATAGCTACCATTTCCTGAGCTTATTATCTGCCAGAAACTATTCTATGAAGCCCTTACTATGCATTATTACATAAGAAAAACCAATTATAATCCTATTAAGAAGGTGATAATATTGTTATCTCAGATTATAAGCACAGATTTCTAAGCACACGCGCGCATGCGCACACACACACACACACAATCTATGGGATATTTGTGGTTCTTAGATGCTATTGAGTCAAAGGATATAAAATTTGACCAGGGAAGCGGGTGGAGGGAATGACTAAGAATTCAGAGGTAATATAAAACTAGTCCTATTTAAATTCTAGCACAAAAGATTATTTTCTGGATGACTAAGAGATCTCTCCTTTTTAAATACTCTGCATCACTAACCCCAAATCCATGTCTAAATTACAGAGTGTGCTATATTCAGACGCAGATTTCCCAAACTGGTTTTCTAACTTGCCATAGTATTATGATCCACCTCTATCATGTAATTCCAGTACTTCTAACTGATCCAACATTGCATGTTTATACATGTAAACAGAGATTTTCTTTGATGTCTACGACAAAGGCTGAGGTAAGCCATTCTAAAAACTGTATCTAATCCCCTGAGTTCTAGAAAATCCTCTTTCTTTTCCAGATAAATGTGTGGGTGGAGGAGAGGTAGGAATCCCCAAAATGTAATAATGGCAAAATGGTTTTAAGTCTTACATTCAAAATAAGAACAAGGAATATGTGCAGGTTTGTGGTTTTTTTTTTTTTAAAAAAGGGGGGGGGGAGAAATATGTGCAAATAACAAGTGACTATAAATAACAAAGTTTCTTAGTTCTTACCGTATGTGGGACACACTCTGCTTGGTAAAACAGTACAGAGAAAAGAGAACTCCCAATACTGGAAGCAGGGAATCCAACAAAATTGCTAAAGGTTCATTCCCGATCACATACACCTAGGGAAACAGAAATGGGAAGAGGTGTCATGACTGCAATGGAAAGGAATGAGAATTAAACATTGTACAGTTAGTAGAATGTCAGTCTTTACTCGCATCATTTCATTTTTAAAAGTTCCAAATTTTCCTGGATTCATACTTTGTATATTTTCCATGTTCCTAATATGTTTGTAGCTGCTTCTCATTTTTTAGTGTCTTCCACTCTGAGGGCTTTCCTTCTAGCAGTATGTCTAACACTTGTTCTCTAATGTTCATAGGGTTTTCAGAAATGGATAGTCAATCCTTCTCTTCTATAGAAGGATTGAAAAAAAAAAAGAAATGACATGTTGCCCTGGAAAAATCTGCAGTCAAGGACCTCTCCAAAGCGCTGAAGAGCAAGGCTGTCAGTTTCAAGACGGAGGTGCACCTAATGTAAACCAAGGTCTTTTTCAATTACTTGCTGTGCATTTGAGAGATGGACATAATAAAGGAGAAGAAAACTCAATGTCTTTGCGTTGTGGTGCTGGAGAAGAGGACTAAATATCTCATGGGCTGCCAAAAGAGTAAACAAGTATCTCTTAGAGAGCAGAGTCAGGGTTCTCTTTAGAGGGAAGGATGGTGAAACTTCATCTCACATTCTTTGGCCATATTTTTAGAAGCCATTCCTTGGAAAAGGACATCATACTCCGTAAAATGGAGGATCAGAGAAGTAGGGGAAGATCCTCAATGAGATGGACTTACAGTGATTGTAACAATGAGCTCAAGTATTGCACAGATGAGGATGATCACAGGATAAGGCAGGGTTCAGATCTGTCACTCAGAAGCTCACTATGAGTCATAGTCAATTCGACAACACCTAACAACAATAACAGCTGTTCTCAGGTCTTCAAATCTCATCATAAGGGAGTGCTGATGGCCTAGTGACAAGGACCTGCACTGCAATCTCGAAGGCATGTAGTTAAATCCACCAGATGCTCCACTGGAGGAGGGGAAATCAACAAGAAGAAAGACGTAGGGAGAAACAACAACTACAAAAATCTCATCATAAACAACACTTTGGTGCTAAAACCAACAATTTTCCCCCTAAAGTTTTACTCAGATTATGACAATGAGACCATACAAGATTGCAGACAAGCTAAAGCAAAGGGAACATGAAATGGAGTAGCACCATTTTATGTGCAATTCATGAAAAACTGCTGGATTTAATAGGTAAATAAATTAATTTCTACATAATTAACTGTCTTACTGCTGAAGGCCCTTCTATTAGCAACAAACCAAATTTACGGGGTGGAACCCAACAAAACCAAAAACGTTAAAATTGGATTAAAACAAAAAAACCAAAGCTTTCTCTAGATTTGTCATTTTTTTTTTATTTTTTAGATTTGCCATTCTTAAAATGTAACCACCACATGCACATTTCCTAGTCTTTTCAGTTTAATAAACATTCATAGAAATTACACTTTGCAGCTAGATCTGCATGGGCTGTTTAGGGTTAATGTGTGTGAGTTTGGGGTTTTTTTATCAATGTTAGTTATGAGACATATTTTAGTTACACCTTTCAAAATGGCTGGCATACAAGCATTTAACAAACATTTACTGAAAATCCACTTTCAAAGCACTAGCGTAGGTACAGTACTGCATCCTAGAATAGAATGATCATTTCTATCTGAGATTATTTATGATCTAACAGAGAGAATAAAATAAATGAGCCAATTACAAAAATGAAAATTCAAGATAAAACTCATCGTGGTAGAGTCAGAACCAACTCATAGCTAGCTCTCCAGTGGGTTTTCAGAGGCTGTAATCAGGTCAGGGGAGAGTGCTGTCTTCCCTGCCAGGAGCCACTGGAAGATTCAAACCACCAAAGAGGTGCCACCTTTGTGCACGGACTACACCAAAATTGCTCCCTTAAAACTCAAGGCAAATAATTTAAAAGGTTTTATGAATGTAAGGGGAGCACTGGTGGTCATGCTTCTCTGGGGGTACAAATTCACCTCAGGGAGAAAGACGGCCTAAGAAAGTCAAAAGGAGGGTCAATTATAAGCGGTTTCCGACTAGACTGCAATGAATTTGAGGTGTGGTGTGTTTTTTTTTAATTTCTTTTTAAGAAATACAAATTGTTATTCACAACATCAAACACAACAGGATTTTAAAGTATATTTCTCTTAAAACAAATACATTAAGACCTCATAGTGATGATGATCATGATGATGAAAAGAATACATGAAACTGACAATGGTTCATTTCTAATATATGTTCCAGAAACTATTCCAGATTTATTTTTATCTTCTAGCTACTATACTATTTTTTTAAAGCCATAATTTTTCAGTAGCAGCCCTATTTTAAAGATCCCCTTTGTTTCAATTCTGACTTACACTGATCCTGCAGCACATGCAGCACATGCAGAACTATCTCATGAAGTTCCCATGGTTGCAAACTTTATCCAAGTAGACTGCCACACCTTTGTCCAAAGGGAAACAAGAGAAGCTGGTGGGTTTAAAACTCAACCACAACCATGGTGGTTCTAAATATATATGCATGTAAAAACTGGACAGTGAAAAAGGAAGACTGAAGAATCAACACCTTCGAATTATTGTGTTAGTGAAGAATACGGAATATACCACGGCCTTTTAGAAAAACAAACAAATCATAAGTAGTACAATGAGAACACGCCTTAAGTGAGAATGGTAAGGCTTCATCTTAGCTTCACTGGGCATGTGATAAGAAAGGTCAGGTCCTGGGAGAGTTAGAGAATGATGTGGTAAAATAGAAGGTCAGTAAAAAGAGAAGAAAACTTTCAATGTGATGGACTGACACAGCAGCTGCGAAAATGGGTTCAAACATAAACAACTGTGAGGACAATAAAGGACCAAGCAGCATTTTCTTCTGTTTACTTAGAAGAACCACTGTAAGTTTGAAGGGATCTGATGGCTTCTAATAACAATGGAAAAAGGGAAATTTAAAGTAGTCTTGTAGAAAAATTACTAACACAAGCATCAAGTCTATTCTAAGGCTTTCTAATAAAACCAAAGTCCCACAAGCCATATGTACACACTGGAAAAAGTTTCGTGTCCCTCCAGAGAGCCCTGTCCCTTTAAATCAATCTTAACTTTTCATACTCTAGACTTTCCAATTTCTCTGCCCAGTTTGATAACCAAGGAGCAAACGTGCAAACTTGCACTGCATGATCTAATCTCCATAAACCTAGCTGAATGAAGTGCATTGTATGGTTGTGTTCAGAAGTAATATGTAGACCTAATTATGACAGTACCAATTACTGGAGGTAAAAGAAAGAGATTCTCCAGATAAATAAGGGCCTATTGTTTGGCTTTGTATCCTGTGTTCCCAGGGGTAATCCCTGTGCAGTCATTCAAAAAAGAAGTTAAACTGTTATCATTTACTGACTCAATAGGACCAAAGGACTACAAAGTTTAACATAAACTCAATCAAGCAATCCCTCAGGAGTATGTTATTGAGCATACATTTTTCCTAATTTTTTCCTATTCTTTTTATACTTTTCTATATATTTTCATAAGAAATAGTACTTTCATATTTTAAACAAATGGCATAGCTATTTATACATGTACATTATTGTATGTATGTATGAGATTCAAATCCACCAGCTGAGCAGTGGGAGAATAATAGACAATCTATCTCGTTTTGCAATTTAGTGTTTCTGAAAACCCACTGGGGCTCAGCTATGGGTTGGTTCTGATTTAACAGTACACAATAACAACATATATGTATGTATAAACACTCATTCACCAAAAGAGAATTCTGGTCGCACAGTCCATAGGAATTTGTGCTGCTAACTCAAAGTGGTGCTTTTCCAGCTGTTCAAATCCACCGGTGGCTTTGAAAGGGAAAGAAGAGCAATCTCCCAGCATGTGGTTTACAGTCGCTGGAGGGTCAGTTATGAGCCTGTTCCAACCTGATAGCAAACAAAGTACTTACTCCAAGGAAGCTTATAGTCTAGTGGAGGAGATAGACAAGTAATTAATATAAAATATCAAGCAGTTCCAAGTGTTATGAGGAAAAATATGGGTTAAAGGACTAGAGAGAGGATTAAGGCATGTAGAAAGAAAAAGAGAAAGATAAACCTTACAGACTCATCAACGGTTATCTACTAAATCCACAGAGTGTAAACAGAAATGAGAATTTTTTTTAAAAAAAGAGAGAGGCTAGATTGAAAGATAAAGTATCCTTCCAGTTCAATCTGACAAATTCATTTTCTCTCTGTAGCTCAAAAACACTGAAGGATCTCTCCTTCACACATGTAACACTGTCATCTCACTTTCAAGACTAACCAGTTCCTTTTTCTATTGAGCCCAAATCTTTAAAGTTCCTGATGGAAGAACACTGCTTTCTCAAAAAACTTTGTACTGGTCCTCTAACAGCAATGACTACTTGAATGACTGAATGAAAATGTAGTAAGATTTCTAAACTCTCCTTTAAATGAAAAATAAAAACTATCATCAACTTCACTTTACTTCAAGTGTGGTTATCCTAAAGACCTGACTACATTTTATAGAGACAAAGGGGCAGTGACTCTGAAAAATCAATCCAGCTCAAGTTTTATCTCTCATAAACCTGCCATATGTATGAATGTTCATTCATTCACTAATTCATGGATTTATTAAGTACCTAACCATGTGACTACAAGTTCTCTCCATTTCTAAAACTCAAGAGCATTTTAGACTTGAAATACACTGAACAATCCATGAATATATAGTTATTCCCTCCGCAACTAGTTTTTCATTTCTCAGAAGGCCAAAATCAGCATCTTTATCTCAGTATCTATGTGAGTAGATGACTCAGCATTTCTGAGATTTCTGAGACTTGGCAATTTAAACACAAGAGTATACAATTTAGAAGAACCTTTCTGTTATAAGAACGACTAAAAAAGAATGAAAGTTTTTCTTTGTACTGCTGGCAAAGAATACTGAACTACAACATGGGTGGCCAAAAGAATATACAAAGCTGTCTTAAAAGACATGTAGCCAGACTGCTCCTTAGAAGCA